AAACTGAAGTATCCAAATGAAAGCTCTTCTTGGATCTCTAGACGCGTGGGAAGTGACCAATGATAGGTTTGAAGAACCAACAGAAGTTGGGGGATATACGACAGCTCAAACGATGGCGTTGAAAGAGACGCGATCGAAGGACAAAACGGTATTATACATGTTGTTCAGGGCTGTAGATGAATCAGGCTTCGAGAAAATTGCTGGTTCGACTACGTCGAAACAAGCGTGGGACACGTTAAAAAAAGTGTTCAAAGGAGCAGATCGAGTGAAGCAAGTTCGACTCCAAACTCTTCGTGGCGAATTGGAGAGGATACAGATGAAGGATACAGAAATTGTATCTGACTACATCACACGTGTGCAAAAGGTGGTGAATCAACTCACCAGAAATGGAGAGACAGTACCTGATGCACGAGTTGTTGAAAAGATCTTGAGATCTTTAACAGACAAGTTTGAAAATATTGTATGTGCAATAGAAGAGTCGAAGGACCTTTCGACACTCTCAATCGAAGAGCTCGCTGGTTCTCTCTAAGCACATGAACAACGAAAGATGAAAAAGAAAGAAGAAGCAGACGAAGAAGCAAACCAAACCAAGGAATCGAACAAAGACGAAAAGGTACTCTTTTCTCACAACTTTCGAGGAAGAGGACGTGGACGTGGAGGTCGTGACAGTGGTCGAAGTGGTAGAGGTAGCAACTTCGAAAGAGGACAATCGAGCCAACAAAATTGGCGTGGCAGAGGACGTGGTCAAAGAGGTGGTCGTTCGAATTATTCCAACTTCGAATGCTACAAGTGTGGGAAGTATGGTCATTATGCGAAGGATTGTAACTCCTACAAATGTTACAACTGTGACAAAGTGGGACATCTTGCAAAAGACTGTCAAATCGAAAAGAAGATTGAAGAAACAACCAACCTAGCCTTGGAAGTTGAATCGAATGAAGGCTTTCTTCTGATGGCTCAAAACGAAATCAACACCAATGACAGTGTTTGGTATCTTGACTCAGGAGCAAGTAATCACATGTGTGGTTACAAACACCCGTTTAAAGATATGAAGAGAATTGAAGATGGTAATGTGTCTTTTGGAGATGCATCGAAAGTGAAGGTCGAAGGAAAGGGCACAATCAGTTACTTGCAGAAGGATGGCTTGATTGGATCAATCGAAGACGTTTACTATGTACCAGATCTCAAGACCAACATATTAAGTCTGGGACAACTTACAGAAAAAGGTGCTTCGATACTGATGAAAGATCGAACACTGCATTTGAAGGACAAAGCAGGATATCTGATTGCCGCTGTCGAAATGGAAAGAAATCGAATGTACAAACTGAACCTGAGGAACATTTGAGAGAAATGTCTGCAAATTGAAGTGCAAGACAAAGCGTCACTATGGAATATGCGCTTTGGTCATCTACATCATGCTGGTTTGAGAAGGTTGGCGAAAAGGAACATGGTGCATGGACTACCAGACATGGATTTCGAAGGAAAATTTTGTGAAGAATGTGTGCTCAGCAAACAAACAAGAACCTCATTTCAAAGGAAGGCAGAGTATTAAGCTAAACATATTCTCGAATTGATACATACTGACATATGTGGGCCAATCACTCCAGAATCCTTCAGTGGAAAAAGGTACTTCATTTCTTTTATTGATGACTTCTCAAGAAAAACCCGGGTCTACTTCCTGAAAGAAAAGTCTGAAGCATTAGAAGTGTTCAAAAAGTTCAAAGTAATGGTAGAGAAGGCAACAGACAGACACATCAAAGCAATTCGATCTGACAGAGGAGGTGAGTATACTTCAATGGCCTTTGTGAAGTACTGTGAAGAACAGGGCATAAGGAGATTCCTAACTGCACCATATTCACCTCAGCAAAATGGTGTGGCTAAAAGGAAGAATCGAACTATTTTTGACATGGTTCGATCAATGCTCAAAAACAAGAACATGTCGAAAGAATTTTGGGCAGAAGCAGTACAATGTGTTGTTTATATTCAGAATAGATGTCCACATTCGAAGTTAGAAGACAAAACACCACAAGAAGCATGGAGTGGACAGAAGCCAACAACTTCTCATCTCAAGGTATTTGGTAGTATAGCTTATGCACATGTACCAGATCAACGAAGAACAAAGCTTGAAGACAAAAGTCAGAAGTACATATTCATTGGATATGATGAGAAGACGAAAGGGTACAAGCTCTTCAATCCCATAAGCAAGAAAGTGATCGTGAGCAGAGACGTTCGAATGAACGAAGCAAGCAAGTGGGACTGGAACAATTCGACAGAAGCTGTTGACACAGTCGAAGAAACAATTGTAGTTGTACCAACAAGTATTCCAACATAACATGAAGAAACAGAAGATGAAGATGAACCTCTACAACCAAAAATGAGAAGTTTGCAAGATTTGTATGATTCAACAAGTGAGGTGCATCTTGTGTGTCTTCTGGCAGATGCTGAAAATATCAGTGTCGAAGAAGCGTTACGAGATAAGAAGTGGAAAAGTGCCATGGACGAAGAAATTAGAGCAATCAAATGCAACAATACTTGGGAGCTAGTCGAATTACCAAAAGGAAGTCAACCCATTGGTGTAAAGTGGGTATTTAAGAAAAAGATGAATGCTCAAGGAGAAATCGAAAGATTCAAAGCACGGCTGGTTGTGAAGGGATACAAACAGAAAGCAGGAATTGACTATGACGAAGTGTTTGCGCCTGTTGCAAGAATGGAGACAATTCGATTACTCATTTCTCAAGCTGCTCAGTTCAAATGGCCAATATTTCAAATAGATGTCAAGACAACATTTTTGAATGGTGTGCTCGAAGAAGAAATCTATGTCGAACAACCACTTGGATATATGAGAAATGGAGAAGAGAAGAAGGTGTTGAAACTGAAGAAATCACTGTATGGGATGAAGCAAGCACCTAGGGCATGGAACACACGTATTGACACATATTTCAAAGAGAATGGGTTCGAGCAATGTCCTTATGAACCCGCCCTCTATGTGAAGAAAAATGGAAGTTTGCTCTCTATGTTGATGACCTTATCTTTCTAGGCAGTGATGTTCAGATGATCGAAGATTTCAAGAACACCATGACAAGCGAATTCGAAATGACAGACTTAGGTCTGATGAGATTCTTTCTTGGTCTGGAGGTTCGACAAGAAGAAGCTGGAATTTTCATCTCACAAGAAAAATATGCAAAGGAAATTTTAGAAAAATATAAAATGAAGAATTGCAATCCAACTTCGACGCCAATGGAACCATGTACAAAACTGTCAAAGTTTGATGGAGGAGAACGGGTCGAAGGAAGTAAATATCGAAGCTTGGTAGGTAGCCTTCGATATCTCACATGCACAAGGCCAGACATTTCACTAAGTGTTGGCATAGTGAGTCGATTCATGGAGGAACCAGTACACACAGATTGGAAGGCGCTGAAACGAATTCTAAGATACATCCAAGGAACAGTATCACTAGGAATGTTTTATTCAAAAACAGAAGACTACAAGTTAGTTGGTTATTCTGACAGTGACTGGTGTGGAGACATAGACGATCGAAAGAGCACCTCTGGATATGTGTTTTTCATGGGAAACACAAAATTTACTTGGCTGTCGAAGAAGCAACCTATAGTAACACTTTCGACGTGTGAAGCTGAATATGTGGCAGCATCCTGTTGCGTCTGTCATGCAGTATGGCTCAGAAGATTGATAAGCAAGATGAAGCTGAAACAGGAAGATCCAACAATAATACAAGTGGACAATAAATCAGCTATCGAATTGGCAAAGAATCCAGTGAATCATGAACGAAGCAAACATATTGATGTTCGATTTCACTTCATTCATGAATATGTGAAGGAGGGAAGTGTCAAATTAAGACATGTAACAAGCAGAAACCAAGCAGCGGATATTTTTACAAAACCACTATCAAAAGAGGTCTTCGACAGAGGCAAGAAGATGATAGGAATGCTGGATGGAAGAAACATTTAAGTTTACAGAGGAGTTTTGTTGAATAAACATTAAATGTGTTAGTAATAAAGTTTTACATTAAACATGGTAGTAGGAAGGACAAAAGTTTAGTAAGTTATGATAGTTTATTAATAGCAGTTATGTTTTAGTTTATGTTTTAGAATTATAAAAGTTATTTTGGTCTATAAAAGAACAAGAGTGTATTTTATTTTATAAGAGCAATATACAAGTATTCATATAGAAGCCTGATTCATTTTATAACAGTTTTCTCGTTTGTCAAATGTGAGTATTGAAGGTAGTAGAATAGAAAACCATTTAAGGTGCCTACTGTGCACTAGCTGCATAGTAGCAATTCCCCTGTAACAGAATTAGTTAGATTTTGCATTAGCTATATAAAGCGATGCACACTGTGTAATCAGTGAAATTGAACGGTGATTCTCTCTGCAACAAGAGTGCAGATTTAGTTTTCTAACAGTGAGGTTCCTAGAACTTTCCCGCTTACATATTGTAAAAGATGCAAGAACCATACATTGCAAAACCGAAAACTTTTTATGGAGTTGTTTCCTTATATAGTTTTTTTGTTTATAGTATAATTACTGTTTCAATTCTCAAGAAATCTAATCTTGATTCAATTTATGTTAAAGTTAGAAGTGTTGAATGTTACTATCTAGTAGGATTTGGTCCATACATTCATGTTTAAACTTTCGGTCCATTTTAAAACTAGTTATTTGATCTCTACATTTTCAATGTTTTTCAGAATTTTAGTCCCCATCCAATTTGGGTGTCATTTTAAATAATGTGTTCATTTGATGATGTAACATAAATTAAATGACATAATAGAAATTACATATCTTTAATTATTTTTATATTATAGTATATAAAAGTCCTAGTATGGACTTCATACCAGTAATATTTAAATTTATAATAACGACAATAGCAAAGTCCTTTGTAATATGGACTTAATGTTTCTTACAAATTATTTAACTGATTAACTTGTTATATAATTAATAACAGCTATACAGTATTAATAAGTTTTCTTAACCATTGGCATGATCAATTTAGGAAAATTGCAGAGTCTCAGTTTTAGTTTCAGCAACCATAGCTGCAACAGAACCTACAAAAGCAGCATTCATATATGTGGTAGGTTCTGCATGAGAGTAATCAGATCTTGCATCATTGTATTGGTCATTAGAATTTGGTCCTCCAACAATAGCACCAACATGAGTATTAGGATTTGGATCAGAGGAAGAGAAATAGTTTGATTGGCCATCATTGCAACCCACTTTAGCCGGGTGAGCTTTGATCGAAGGAATGGAAGAACCTCTGTGATGTGGTTGCTTTGGATATTTACTCCCATATCCCACCATGTATGACATCTTCATAGGATTGTTTCCTAGTATGTAGTCCACCTATGTAATGTACACATTCAATTTTTAGTTATGAACCAAAATTAAGAAACCAACAATTCACCTTAATATAAAATAAATATACCTGTGATTTTGCAAAGGCTCTAATCTCTGAGGGAGAGAATTTGGCAGAGCCACAGTGGATTCCATCAATATGATTATTGTTTAAGATTTTGGAGAAAATGAATAGCACCATAGTTGAGGTAGTGGTATATTGCAAATTACTACTATCTCTAATATATAGAAGCCCACCTGAATAACAATAGGCTAATTCAGCATCAATGCATATATAAATTATTAAATATAACATGTATGTATCTATATACCAGGTGTTGTTTTGATCTGTTGAGAGCTACTTCCTGGCATCAATGCGCATATAAATGATTCACCGTCACTTTGAATTTTGGCTAAGTCCTTCTTTCCGCCATAGAACTCCTGGAGAAAAACAATTAGAATTAACAAGTTGATTTTTTCTTTTGCACAATGTTTACTAAAAGAACGAAATTTTGCTATAAATATAAAGACCTGTGTTAATAATGTTTGAGCTCCAACAAATTTGTTGTCCCAGCTGAACTCAGACACTGCTTGACTCCAACCTTGGTTGTTTATGATGTATTGTATGTACTTGCTTTCTCCACTGGCCTTGTGTAGCCAAGAAGCAGCCCATAACAGTTCATCCTTTTTGTACACAATTTAGAATTCAAGGTCGTAAATAAATGATCTATGAAAAATTAATTATTAGTCTTTAAACGTTATCATTTCTACTAGCAACAATATTTTACCTGGTAACCAGAGTATGAGCAGTAAAATGGACAAGAAGTAGAGTAAGTGCCTCTATACTTATCAGCAAAATCAAATAGCTGCAAAACATTGGTAAACTATTTAGTTAATTTGTTGAAACTAAATATATAATCAAAGTGGAAATACCAACACCTGATAAATATGGATCATAGAGCCAATTGAACATCATAATTCATGAATGAAAATAAAACATGTTCTTTGAGTTGCTTACAGATTTTGACTGGCTTAATAGCTTGGATGAATAATTGGCATCTGTTTTCTTAAAGACAATTGAAGCAGCAGAAAGAGCAGCAGCAGCCTCAGCTGCAGCCTCAGTTCCAGGGGAATTAGCATCAATCTTGTATGCTGTTCTCGGTGTATCCATGTCTTCTGGACGCTCCCAACAATTATGATCTGCATTTCCATCTCCTACCTAGCAATCATGAAACAACTTTACACACCATTTATTTAAAATTTTCATGCAAGTACTCAATTATCATATGATATATAGAAGCATGCCTGTGTAAAGAGCGTGGTTGGAGAAGTGTGAGCTTGTATTATGAAATCTGCGCCCCAGCGAATAGCACTGTGAAGGTAATCAAGTTGTTTCGCCGAAGAAATCTCACTTTCGTATTCAATAGCAGCCCAACTCAATAAGCTTACAGTAAATGACATCGGCCATCCAAACTTCACATTATCACCAGCGTCGTAGTATCCTCCAACCAAATTCACCTGCCAAAGAATATATATAATACACATATTGAGCCACATGCAAAACTTAATTCAAAGCCTTTTTAACTACATAATTGTGGATATGAAATTGTAAATTTTATGTCATTTCACAGATATATATACATTTTGAGGCTTGCCATCAGAGAGTGCAGAATCTCCCCTCCACTTCACTCTTTGGTCTTTAGGCAACTTCCCTGAGCGTTGTCCTTCAAAAAACAAGATGGCTTTGCCAAGAGCATCTGCATAGTCATAATTAGCTGAGGAATTTATACTGATTAATTCATCATCCATCATGGCTAATAATCCATTCTGACTACTCATGGCAATCAACAAGATCAAACCATTGATCAACAAACAACACCCCATGATTGTTTTCTTATAGGTTTCTAACTCTGCAGGATATGTATATTCAGCTAAACTTGCTAGTATTTATAATAGAGATAAAACATGGTCGTTGCCTAACTATGCCTAACTATTACTACCTCAAATAGGAGAGGAATGTAGAAAGTAGTGCATGTGCATGAGAAAGATTATAAAGTATGGAATGGGGGATAACTTGACGTGTGCTAGTCATTATATTCATATATAACAATAAAGTCATAGTAAATGAGTCATGAAGATGGTATAGATATATATTAATCACCAAAACATGAACAATGGCCATTCCCCCTGAAAAGTCACATGTATGTATATTGTTTTACATGCTACTGATGCTTCAAGACTACTATGATTAACTTGTTTTATGAATATCAACTTTTCATCCACAAAAGTGATGTTATAGATTATGATATGTAAATAGTCATTGCATTGCATGTTACTTTTTTAATAGTCATTTTAATCATCTCTTAAATATATTTATTATTAAGTCCAAAGAAAATTTTATTTATTATTATTATTATTATTATTATTATTATTATTATTATTGTCTTATTCTAAATATATCATTAACAAAATGATAATTAATTTTGCATTAGAACTTTAAAATAAATAGCATGTAGGAATACAATTCTTCAATAAAAATGATTATTAAAATATAGTTTGAAATCTAATTAAAGTAAGGGTTTAATGTACATATATTGTCTGTGTAAAAGAATTTTACAGAGTCGTCCAATAGTAAATCACCAATCTGTCAAATCATAAAATTATTTTAAATTATTAGTATGATATGGCGGGATAGACCTCGTTCATTAGGTGACGGTGTAAAACTTCTTTAAACAGTTCGTGCATCATCTATTTTGTCCACTTTACTTTCTTGATCACTTAACTTCAAATTATGAGAACTCTATCTCCCGGATGGTTTAAAACACACAAAAAAAAAAAAAGTGGAAGTTTTAGCATACACAAAGTTTCGGCCATATCAATAGAAAATAAGAAAAGGAAACTACATGAATTATATAACTTCTTTTTTTGACGACATGAATTATATAACTTGGTCTAATCTGTCTAACACACAAGTTTAATTTTAAAATTCAAATCAAAGTTGAAATAAACCCAAAAAAAATGGTGTAAACCGTCATGAAAATATTTTTTATCAATTAAGAACATTAAATTGTATAACTTTTCAGGTTTGAAAAATTCAAAGATATACAGTATTATATATTTTATGATATATTTTGGCTTTAAATTTTGTAGCTATACTATTAAGTACAAATTATATATAATCAGACTGTACAATTTTCTTAGCTATGTACTTCCCCAAATAATCATATCCATGAAAGTATAGGGCTTCAATCTCAGCTCTCCTGCCGCTCTGAACCATCAAGGTGACCTCTTCCTTGTAATTTTCCTGTTAAGCACCATTTCGTTAATTTGTAAGGAAAATAACCCTTCAATTGCAGAGCATGTTCTGAAAGCATAATAGTTCTTATATAGATTGGTCCTTATGCACTATGCAGATTATATACATATACAATTCTTGTGCAAATGTGTTTCATGTTGGGAAAAAAATGGATCTTTTGTTGCTTTACTCACAACTCTTATGAAGAATGGTATAAATATCAAGAAGATAGAAAAGACTGAGGATTCACAAATGTGAATATAGAATTGTGGAGATACTCTTTACTGAATTTATCTCAAACTATTTATGAACATTACAATTTCTAATCCCATATCGAATGGCTAATGTGATTCTTAACTGTCACTTACAAGCAAAACAGAAATTGAAACTGTTTTTCTAACCAACTAACTAACTTGTATAGTAAGTAAGTCTAACAAGGATTAACTAATACATTGCTTTCTTAAGCGTCTAATCTAAGAACGCATAAATCATGTAGAATCTACTTAAGGTATAACATCATAACAGCCTAAAATATGTGACTGAAAGTGGCAAAAGACCTTAATTACGGCGGGTCAGCAAAAGCAAGAAAGTGATGAGCAAAAATCAGAGACCAGGCCTGCAGGATGAGGATAGCAATGGCTGCATTCAGTGTTCCGAATTGTTTACCTGTAAGATTTTGGAGGACATTAAGCTTTGAGCAATTTGTAGGTCCTTTGTCTTCAATGGAACGAAAGATTGATCAGGCAGCATGGGTAGATCATGCCCCCGCAGTCCTAACCACTTGACATTGCAAGCTAGATAATGCAGAGAAAAACATTCCTCGAGGGTAAATTTCAATACAACACATTTGTTTGCTAGTTCATTCCAATGTATTATAGCTTTTGTGCTTTGTGACATAATGATCTTAAAAAATTACCGTATCTATATGACTCTAGGCCCATTCCTACACTTCCAAATTTGAAGGTGCATAGTATAGCTAATCCAGCTGGATTCCTTTATAAAGTTTAAATGTGAGAAAAGAGTTAAGGTACGAATTATGAAGAACATTTTAACAAGAAAAGGAAAAAGTAGTGTTTGTTTATCATTATGGAATAAAGTTGTAATTCAGAACAAAGGCAAGCAATTGTACCAATCCACCAAAGCTAAAATTGGCAAGTCTGGAAATGCTCTACTGATTCGATGAAGAAGAAATCTGCATTTAAATTTCAGTTTTAGACATTAAGCGACCATCAAAAGGGTAGCTTATCAGAAAAAGAAGACAAAAAACCCATCAAAAAGGTAAAACTCCAATATATGATAGTGATATGGTATAATATCCAATGTAATTAGAGCAGAACTTCTAAAAGCATCACATCAGAGCTTTTATGTAATTTAACTCTATACTGCAGACTAGTGTGAAGAGTACCTTGTGGCCATATCTGGGTAACCTTTGGCAGTGATAAGAATGCTTGGAATTTGATTAAAAAACCTATCTTCAGCAAGCCGTTGAAATATTGCATGCTAAACATAAGCAAGGGTTATATATTTTTTCGCATGCTAAACATAAGCAAGGGTTATATATTGTTTCAAAACAAAATTTTCTGTTAGGGAAAAATGTGGAACTTCTCAAGTTCAAAGCAGTGTGATGTAGTTGGTAATAAAATAAGAAATATGAGTAAACTAAATTACCTCAACTCACCTTTTCCACAACGACAATGTACCGTGCATCTGTATTTAGAATCAATTTATCTAACAAACTCAAGTCACCAGAAATTGTATGTCCAGAAGATCCACACACAGAGCAATCAACAGCCTCTTTTCCTGGTTCCTATACATGAAAAATTGGAATCTCAAAGTTGTTAATGTTTATATTTGAAGAATTGCATCAAGCAGTGATACTGAACATGTCTCTACTCCATTTACAATGGCCTTGATTGGATAAACGTTTTTATTAAGCATTTATAAATAAGTACTTATGTATAAGTAATTTCGATAACAAAATATGAATAAAGTCAATCAGTTTTCATATAAGTCTCAAGTTGTTTTCGTAAACTATCATCATGGAAATAAGCTTACAACAAATTTATGGACATGTTATAAGTTGTTTCCATAGGCAATCCCAAACAATGTTACAAGTGTTTATGTCGTAGATTAACTCAAACAAACAAGCAATCAGAATGCAATATCCTTGAATGAAGGGTTCACGAAGTACCTGCATAATCAGACGGCCAGCAATGAGTCCTCGACTAGATGCCATGATTCCAAGACTGTATCTGCTGCACCGAAGCAACGCCACAAGATCTGTTTTGGCACATATTAGCAAGTCTTTTCAAAAACACCAAGACATCAAATCAAACTTTTTAAATAAGCAAGACAGTGATTAACTGATTATAGATAACCTTGGATTGTCCTATTGACATCCTTTTGAGAAGGAAACAGATGCGGCGAATCACACAGCAGTTTGTAGAAGAGTTCTCTCTGTGTGACACGCTTTTCCTGAAGCAATATCTGATAGCACATCTCCATCACCTTCCACACTACACGTAAGAAATTTCCAACTCAGAAACAACAAAAATTATTGGAAGAGTAAATAAGTAAGAAAACTAGGTTTGTAGTCTTTACCCCTAACAAAGGCTTTTCCTGCATTAGGCCTCATAAGAGACCTTATAGATACAGAATTGGAGAGAAAAACATATGATAACTCGGTTAACAGACTATGATTCACCCTACTGTTGCTCAATTTTCTTTGAATCTGTTCATTTTTTAGGAATAATAAGCTACAATTAGGAATGTGTGTATGTTGATATCAAAAGAAGCCAATAAAAATTAATATGAAATAAATCAAAATGAAAATGCTTGATGCAAATTCCAAACGCTTGATTAGAACTTAATAAAACTAAAAGTCTAAAACGGTGAATTAGCAAATTGTTACAATCGGCTTTTGCTGCATTAGGTCTTATTAGACACCTTGTAGAGAGAGAATTTAAGCGAAAAACATACAATAGTTCGACTAACAAGAGATTATACACTCAATTGTTGCTCAATTTTCTTCGAATCTATTCATTTCTAATAGTGATAAGCTACAACTAGGACAGTGAGTCTGTGTATGTTGATAGCAAAACAAGATAACAAAAATTAAAAATCATTGTAAAATAAATAAAAAAGAAATTCCAACTTGCGAATTCTAAAATTTAATCCATTGATTAGAAGTAATTGACCTAGAACGGTGAATTAGCAAATCATTACAACCAAATATATGGATATCAAGGTTTTAAAAAACTGTCTGCGACCGTGAAAATGACCGTGACAAAACGGTGTCGATACTGATGTCGTTATTCAACATATTTATGTTAACAAACAAATTGAAGTTAATTCACACTGTGGCGACCGCAATCTCTGGCGTAACATCTGTACCGACCGAAACCGCATAAGCAATGCGATTGCGACCGTTATTTAAAACCTTGATGGTTATGAAGATAATGAGAATACCAGAGGCAAATCAGAGATGGCAGGGTTAGATGCATTCAATATTTTGAGGAAACTGAGCACTGACACTTCAATTCTTGCTCGAACCTGCATCAATCAAAATGAAATTGGAGCTTATGAAAGAGAATTTAGAAACTGTGAAAGAGGATTATTACCTGAGCCGGAGGAACGATATCGGCATAACAAAGGTGTTGATCAGTGAAAAACTTTAGCGTCGAAGTTCGGAGATCTTCCATTAGAGAGAGCGAAATGATTTCTCAAAATTTTGATTTCTGTTTGATTTGGCGCGCAAAACCGAATTGCTGGATAGTTTTATACCAAAACATAACTACATGCCGTTTAACGTCATACATAAACGGCAATCATTTAGATGGTGAATTTTTTCAAGGTACCGTGCGAGATATTCCCATAAGTATAAGTGTAACTCACTTTTATTTATCCCTATGTTTAAATTTTAAACTTTTATCCTCAAATATTCATCTATTTTAAGAAAATGATTCTTTTTCAATATAAGAGAACAATATAACTTTATAATTGGGATTACTTTTTTCATCTTAGATGTGGTCTCTATCACCGTGAAAAGTATCTATTGTCTTTAATGTGTATCTCTAGACGCACATTTTTCACACATCTCGGATGAAATTGTTGAAAAACCTCTATTTTGTTAAAATTTGCTTTGGAGATGCATCTTTGTATGCATAAAAGGTTAATTCGAAGATATATCTCTGTAACATCCCTTAGTTCAATATCGAGTAAGTTTTTCGAAGATGCATCTATGGAATATACATTAGAACTAACTATGAAGAATGACAGAATGGAAAACCAATATAAATTAACATCAAAATAAATATTACATACATAATTGTTAACGTTAACATAATTTTAACATTACATGTCATTACAAACGAGTGGTTCAGGACGTTGCAATCGTCACATCCACTTCAATTGGATCCTTTATTAAGTAATAGTACTCCACACTACTTTTAAATCATCATTCGTCTTCAGTTCAAGTATGGTGAAACATATACTCCCTTCATTGTCAATCGAGAGTGAACGGTACTCGAGTTTGACAACTCTATGATTTTCTAGATATCGCATGAGAGTATTCAGTTTGGATTTCAGATTAATGAGAAGTATGTCATCGGAGGCCCTAAATTCAAGTAAGGGATTTGCTCCATTGAAATAGACAAATGCAAGATATGGATATGTATTTATTCTGGTTTTTATAAAGAAAATGGAATTGAGAGAGCCTATTTATAGAAGTTGTAGATCAATAAGGACCTTAAAACCATATCCTATCATCAAGACATATTTCGGAGATGCATCTCCGGATACACCTTTTTGTTTCCCAAAAATAAGGGTCTTTACAGAGGTGCACATCCGTATAGTCCCCTGTTTTGTTTTTTTAATAATTAAAAGGTGTGTCCGGAGATACTTCTATGGACCTACCCAAACCATTGTTCATACAAAACCCGTGTATTATGCAGTGTAAAATTTACCGCCATTTGTTTCAAGCATGCATGTTATATATTTGCTTGATAATTGAAATATTTAGAGGTATTTTTCGTTTCAAAGACGCGAGTATGTTTTTCGGCGCCACCGTGTTTAATATCATGTCTGAAAAAAGTTCTCTCTCCTCCAGAACAAGATGACATACAATGAGATGCACGGTTGGCTTGTGAGTCAAGGTGTGATACGGTGGCAGAACCGACTGTTATACTGGTTTTGCATTTGTGTTCGCAAATGTTGTGGTAAGCAAGATTCGCCACCGACTTTTCTTTTATCCAACAAAGGAAAGAGTGAAATGAACAGAAAAAGACTTTTCGGGAGTTTTTTGAATAAGGGGGTAGATTAAGGAAAGGGAAGGTGTTAGCACCCTTTTCATCCAAAGTTATCTACGGGCTCTTAGATGCTTAGCTCATTTTGAAATACATTGTGCTTTGTGTGTTTTTGAAAAATTATTTTTGAAATTCCAATGGTAAGACAACTTGCTTTATGATAACTCTTGTATCAGTCCTCAAGAGTGTTGATAAAGCATTTTGAAAATGTTTTTTTAAAAAAGTTTTGTGTAAGTGCAAAAATTTGTTTTGAGCATGACATCTAGGAACTATCTACTTTTACTCGAAAGGATTGTTCTTTTCCTCTTTTCCTTTAGACAGTGATATCTTGCTATTAGTGAGCAGGTAGCCATAGTCATTGGATATTTGAGGGACATTCGAAGAGACGTTTGTATAATCACAAAGGCAATTAGGCAAGAAATCTTAGTAACTATCCTAGGGTCTTAAGATCACTTTATCGAGGCAACGTCGAGAGGGTCATCGAGGGACTTGTGATCTTTAAACCGGAGGGTAGCCACTAAAATCTCTCACGTTTCGAGAGTTGTGACTGTTTTTCTGAAGGCAACCAAAGTGGGGGTACCCTAGAGGTGCGCATGTGCAAATATGTTGTATTCAGTTATTTATCTTGTGTTAGGTTTGCTAGCGTTTGTTTGTTAAACTCTTGCCATACAATCCTAATTAGCATACATCTAAAAAGTTAATAATTTTCAGAAATTAAAAGTGCGGAAATGTAAATCCTAAACTATTACAAGGCTTCGTGGAGGGGATTATTTACATGTCCAAAACTTTGAGGGAAAATAAAGCAGTAAAGTAAAGGTCCTAGTTATAAAATTATTACATCCCATAAGCAGATACATTAATATGAAAAGACAATGATAATATGAAAGTATTTAAATGTGCACGAATTGAAAATACGTCTAAAAATCATAAGGAAAAATGAAATCTTTTTGTTTATGGAAAGAAATTTGATTTAAAATCCTAAGTCTATTTATTTTTAAATTAAGAAAAGGGTTAAAATAATTAATCAATTAATTTACAAAATTAATTTATATGAGAAAATACTAACCTAATATTTTTTGTGATTTTTTTTAATCTGATTTTACAATGTTATAAAAAAATAAAACAATTAAAAGCAAATAAATAAATAAAAAATAAAAAAGTAAATAGACCAGGATAGTAAAAGTAACAGGGGGGGTAAGTTTAAAAAAAACGCAGGCCCAGATCAAGAAGATGCCCAGGTTGTCTTTCGATCCAATGAGGGAGGTTGTCTTTCGATCCAACGAGGGAGGTTGTCTTTCGATCCAATGGGGGAGGTTGTTGAAAGTGCATGATGGAATGCACATTGAGGGTACTGGATCTGGATTGATGGGATCTACTGGTGTTGACTACGTGGTACATGGTGTGCACGTTAGACCTGCAAGCATGGGATATGGAATACAATTGTTAGAAAAAACAAAATGCATGACCTGGATGTCGAACCCAGGTCCTTCCCCTTAATTCGAACCCCCACCTAATTTGAACCCCTGAGTCCAAATCTGAAGCTATTTTGTCCTGAAACACCATGAATTCTGAGATTCGAAGGAACCAATTTCAAATGCTCTAGCAATGGCATTTTGTGTTTTGGGCACTGAAACTCACATGAATTACGTTAAAACATTCATAAATAATGACAATAACATAAATATGCAATTGAAAGAGATTTAAATTAAAGGTTAAACGAGTTTGGGATCCAAATTTTTTTACCAAACGGAAGGATCGAATAAGCGTGTTTCTGGGTGCATTTGAATTGCTTAAGGCATGGGAATCACTCTTGGGACCTTCAGGGGGTGAATAACGGACTTGGTTTGGACTTAGGAAGCTTACACTATGCTTTTTAAATTTGGCAACTTTGATGTATTTCTTTATGATTTTCGTGTGGCTCTTTGAGGTGTTTTTTATGTCCGTTGCTTCTGATTTTCTTGTACTTATAGGGGTGTTGTAATGAACAAATATGGCATGAATCAGCCATTAATCATGGCTTTGAAAGCAGAATCGAAATATTTGAAAAGTTGTCATTTTGATAATTTTCTTGCCATTCTTGAAGCATAATGAACCTAGACATGTTATGGTTGGTGTTTCGACTTGCATCTCCATTTCACATCAATTGGTTCTTTCGACCAGCTCCCTAGCATTATTATTTTCGATGGCTCTGAGTTCCAATTTGAATTGATCAAGGCTTCATCATCATGGCTTCTTCGATTAAGTCCACATCTGCTTCAATTGTGTAATCTGGGAACATCAGCCTAATCGAACAGTTCTTGTTCTTTTCGATCTCCTTTACTTCAATTCAACCAATTGAAGTATCACCTCTTCCTTTTGACCTGTCGAAGCTTCGTTCTGTTCCTTTCGATCTCCTTTTCGAACAAAGTTGTGTAGGTGTTTGATCCTTGTCGAACTGAACTTCGACTCCAATCCAAACCTTTGCCTTTCGTCTATAAGACCAACTAGTTTATCTTCGATTGGTGAATACAACTTGTATGCACCACTTGAATGGTAATCTATGAGCACCAAGACTTCACTTCGATCATCCAACTTCTTCCTTTCCTGTTTAGGTACATGCCTGAAACACATTGGTCCAAAAACTCTAAGAGGACTTATATTTGGCTGATTCAACCCTAAGTCTTTCTATGAAATCACGCCATGTTTGAAGGTTGTATGTCCTTCGAACCATAAGATCAAAGCTTTTGAATTCAACCAACATGGCAATCGAAATGTCTTTCCTAGTAATGCTTCAAATGGCCTTTATTTCAATAGTTCGAAATTACTGTCAGAATAGACTGCATACTGCTGCCGAAGTTTCTCGAATAGACTGCATACTGCTGTCGAAGTTGCTTACTACTGAAATAAACTGCATATTACTGTCGAAGTTGCTTCGACCCAAAAGCTCTTAGGCATATTTTCAGCTTTCGAAATACACTTATTTTCTTTCTTTCAGTTAGACCATTATGCTGAGGCGTATAGAGTGCCATGGAAATCACTTGAAGCTTTTGCAAACCAACATTATTTGTGAGAAATGAAACCCTAGATGGAAATCCATTGCTTAGGAGGAGAATTTGTCTGGTCAATTCTTGGTCAACCTAGAGCAATTGAGGACCTTAATGAGCATGCCTTGAATAGAAAGGGAGGGCAAATTTTGGGGTACAACACAAGGCATGATTATGTTACCAGAAATCACATTAAATTTCCACGTGTCATCAGTCATACTGTATCCACGCAATTTAAACTAACACTCGCGTTTTCTCGATCCAGTGTCATCTCGTTTCATCTTCCTGATTTGTGGTTGGTACGTGTCACTTCTTTTGCATATCATTGTTATGAATGCATGTCTTCTATCCGAACCATTTTTAGACCTTCCGATT